CACGTGAGTCTGAATGAGTAATGACTTACTTTGTGTACAAGTCGTACTCTCCAGGCTGTACTTCAGGAAAGTTTGATATATTGATCTTTTTGTACGTACACTTGCTTCATGCCTAGGAAAAAGAGCTTGCATTAGTTGTATGAGCAAATGATGTTCAAGGATACCTCACCCACAGGAACTCGTTGACTGTGTTCTCACTACAGTGTGCCATCAATGCAAACAATTTTTTCATACGTCAGTACCACATTTGAACATTTTTGAGCTCGGTTTGGATGTTAGTTGGGATCCGATTTGAAGTTTTGCGGTCTTTGTCTGCAAGCAATTCATCAATGGCAGCTTCATCGAGATCACACTCTTCGTAGTTCTGCAGAGTGACACGGTGGGGATCAATATCAGAAGGATTTTGGGGTTTGTCGAAGCGGCTGGGTTTGATAGGTAGGTCGATTTGTTTTTTCCGAGTGATTCGAGTACATTTGATGGGAGGGGTTTTGGGTTGTTTGTCTTCCTCATCGTCCTCCTGATCGACTTCATCTTCATCTTCATCATCTTCCTCTTCATCAGCATCAGAGTCATCACTGGAAAGCCTTGAAATGGCTGGGCCTGTGGTTTTCTTTTGGGTTAATCGTTTGGAAGTGCGGTGTTGAGTCGGTTTGGGTTGAGTTTTGGCAGCAGGAGATGCTAAAGTGCGTTTGCGGGTCCCACGAGTTGGCATTTTATAGGATGAATGTTTGGTGAGAGTCTGTAAGGACAATGAGTGATGTTGATGGGATCGATCGAGGGTTTTTAGTTTTTTGAAAGTTAAGAGAAAGTTAAGTTTTGGCTTGTATGGGTGTTCGATGTGAGGGTAGAGGACTTAATTGAGGACTCTATGCTCACTAAATGGGTCAAGTAGGGTAGTATTATTTTTATGTATAATGTTTATATTTCAATTATAATGTAATTACAATAAAAATAAGACTAAGAAGAGAAGAGGAAAGGGGAAAGGCTGGTCTGTTTGGATAAATCCAGACAGACTACAGTTAAGAGACTCCTGAAGAGGAGGTTTGTAATTATAATATATAAAGGTTATAATTAATGAAGGATGGATCCCACAGTCCTTCCTTTAATCTTTTAAGTAACAGATTAAAGAGTGAAATAAGGTCACTACAATGGTTGTTCTTAAAGTCACCAACTTATGGTTGTTCTTAAGGTCACCAGCCTGAAAGTACTTGTATGTAGGTCACTAGCCTTGGGTTGTTGGAAGGTCACCAACCTAAAATAGTTCCTACTTGGGGGAAGTAGAGGATCCAGAAGGAGTGAAGATATTACTTACTTTTAATCAAGGAACAGATTAAAGTAATGAAGATATCACTAGTCTTATATTTATAAGACTCTTGATGTTACTTCAGTAGACTTTAATGGTTCTTAAAAGTGGTGTGTAATATTGCTTGGGGAATCTCTGAAGGCTGAGAGAGAGGA